AGGCTAAAATCTGGTAATAAATTTAGGGTTTTAAGGCTGAAGTCTGGTAATAAATTTAGGGGTTTAAGGCTGAAATCTGGTAATAAATTTAGGGGTTTAAGGCTGAAATCTGGTAATAAATTTAGGGTTTTAAGGCTAAAATCTGGTAATAAATGTAGGGTTTTAAGGCTAAAATCTGGTAATAAATGTAGGGTTTTAAGGCTAACATCTGCTGATAAATGTAGGGTTTTAAGGCTAAAATCTGGTAATAAATTCAGGGTTTTAAGGCTAAAGTCTGGTAATAAATTTAGGGTTTTAAGGCTAAAGTCTGGTAATAAATTTAGGGTTTTAAGGCTAAAGTCTGGTAATAAATGTAGGGTTTAAAGGCTAAAGTCTGGTAATAAATTTAGGGTTTTAAGGCTAAAATCTGGTAATTTAGGGGTTTAAGGCTAAAGTCTGGTAATAAATTTAGGGTTTTAAGGCTGAAGTCTGGTAATAAATTGGTCCAGGATGGTTCAATTGTACCTGTCCCTGTTACATCATGAGAAGCACAGCTCTACAAAGTCACTGTCTGCTTAAACTGGTCTTAAGTCCTTGTTTTGATGAGAAAAATGAATATTAGACTCATTTTTTGAGTCAAGTTTGAAATTGCAAAGAGTTTTAATGACAGAATGTGACAAGTTACAATTGGATGAGGATCATCACTGGGCAGAGGGAAGGAGGGGAGGCTTTTGAGTTCAAATATTTCATCCTAAATTCAATCCCTTTAGCAGAGCCAGGTCTTGCAGCACCCTGTCCCAAGGCTGTTTTCCTTTCACCCTGAGAATCCACCATCTGATTTTTATCCTTGGACCTGAATTTAATCAACCTGAATTGAATCCCTCAAGGTGACAACTTGAAACAGAAGCCTGTGTTTTTCCTGGGAAAACAAACACCCCTCAGCCTTGTCCTTTTGTGTTGTTTTGCAGGTTGTGGTTGTGCAGGCMATCAGTGCCCTGTGCCAGAAATACCCTCGGAAACACAGCGTGATGATGACATTCCTCTCCAACATGCTCAGGGATGATGTATGTAGGGGAATTTGGGCAAATTTGGGCAGATTTGGGCATGGTTGGTGATGGGAAGGGTCCCTTTTGTCATTGTGATGTCTTATCGGGCTCATCTAAACCAGAGGCTGGACAGAATTCAGAGAAACAAAATTAATTCTGTTTATTGAGGTCCTTCAGGCACATTTAGGGCAATCACAACCCACCCAAAATGGGTTTTTCACCCTTTCTCAGTTTTGTCCATTTTGGGGCTGAATCCTCCAATTGCAGCTCAGCCAATGCAGTCATTGACTCCAAGTTGGCTCCCCCCAATTCTCTGTTGTTTCCATCTCTTGGGGAGGTGTCCTTGAGTTTGGGGCTGCAGAGGAATTGTTTTGTGTGAAAATGGGAGAGCAGGAGCTCAGCACTGTCTGTGGAGTCTGGAGTTAAACCCTGAAGAATTCCAGGATTACACAGACATGGAAATAAAAGAATTCTGAGGCATCAGTCACAGTTGACAAAACTTCCAAAAAATGGTTAAAAACGGGAGAGCAGAAGCTCAGCACTGTCTGTGGAGTCTGGAGTTAAACACTGGAGAATCACAGGGGTACAGAGACATGGAAATAGAGAAATCCTGAAATTCTGAGGCATCAGTCAGAGCCAACAAAACTTCCCAAAAATGGTTAAAAATGGGAGAGCAGGAGCTGAGAACTGTCTGTGGAGTGTGGAGTTAAACATGAAGAATCACAGGGTACAGAGACATGGAAATAGAGAAATCCTGAAATTCTGAGGCATCAATCAGAGCCAACAAAACTTCCAAAAAAATGGTTAAAAATGGGAGAGCAGGAGCTCAGCACTGTCTGTGGAGTCTGGAGTTAAACACTGGAGAATCACAGGGTTTCAGTGACATGGAAATAGAGAAATCCTGAAATTCTGAGACATCAAGTGGGTGCACAGAATGATGGGCCTGAGTGATCACAACACCCTGTGGGTCAGACYTGTGTGAAATGCTCAGGAATTAGAGCTGAGGATGTGCAGATGATTTTGATGGATCASGGGGCTGGGAACCTTTTCCCATTTTGTACAAACACT